CGCGTTAAAATTCCAGTATGGAATCCGATACAGCGCCAGTAGCGGTAGCTACCAAGAACTACAAATCTCCATACAAATTCTTAGCGCGCTCACTAGTGAACGCGTTAGCGTAAAACTTACACTTACCACTCTGTTACATTATCGTGTAAACTTCAATCGAACTATAACCGAATCTGAAATGTTACGTTACAGACAAATGCTTCAGGTGTGACTTTTAAGGACATAGGGAATGATCAGATATGGATAGTAAATACGAATACCTATATATTGAATATAATACAATTTAATATTGATTCTACTGCAAGCAGACGAAGTAATTATATGCCGTTATGTAGTTAATAAAGTTTAAAACAGACATTTACGCACGCAAATAACGCTAACAATGAAATAATAACGAGAATCTATTACTATTATGACATTACGATTGAAAAATGCGTTTCCAGACGATAGAAGAAAAGCCTTAGCAACTACTAAAACGACTTTCTGGGAATTATGAATTTTGAAAATAGTATGTAAGCGCTGGTAATGTTAGGAGTACACGCATCGTCGAAAATAGTACGGCCAGACTAGCATGATAACTGTCTGTCATCGCAAGCCGATATATTGTTTTTCGCCATACTACAAGATATAAACACACACATTTTTGATGGCCTGAGTACCGGCTTCGTAGTATCGACGGGAGCGAACAATGTTTTTAAATAAAACTATTGGTAAATGAAAGTAATACCAGGCTTTATAGTGTTAATTTTTTTTCTATTTTAATAAAATTTGTGTAAAGAATTAGATCATACTTCCTTAGCATAATATCGAAATTAAATGATAGTGACATACGGACGGACAGACTGACAGACACCTTATAATTTATGGCTAATGCAGCTTATACAGCTATATAAATAAAGCGAGTTGCAATATATATCAATTATTATCGTTTTATACTACGAATGTTTTTCTTGTAATTTTTAAAACATAACATTTTGGATGATAACAGCGGAGTGCGAGTCGGGCTCTAGATAAAGGATTTTATACTAAAATTTATTATACCTATGAAAAACATAAAAAAATATTTTTTGTGTTTTTCATATAATATATGTCCCCTGGCATAATTATTCCAATCTGTTTTTTAGCATTTATATACCTGTAACAGAGGTACATCGGCCTGGTTATGACCTTGGACAGAAGTCTTAATAATATTTACCCTATTTTGCCCTTTGGGTATGGAACTTTAAAGTAGTTTAAAAAAAGTACCTAATACAGCTGATAAATAAAGCGGGTTGCCAGACTTATGAATTATTATCGTTTTATAATGCATCTTGTGTGTGACTAACGTTTATCTTGTAATTTTTGCAAAGCCACCACGTCGTTATGACCACAGAACACGGAAAAGAGGTTATGACCATGTGGAAGATTGTTAAAACATAATATTTTAGAATAATAAACCAGCTAAGCGCGAGTCGAGCTCGTGCACGATAGATCCCATTCTGTTTTTTAGTATTTATATAGCGGCAACAGAAACACATAATTCGTGAAATTTTCAACTGTCTATCTATCACGGTTCATATGATGAACGGAATGATGTAGCCTGGTGATAAACGGAAGGACAGCGGCGTCATAATAATAGGTTCCCCGTTTTACCTTTTGGGTATGGAACTCTAAAAAGTAGTCTGCTGTCCCCGGGCGACAAAACACATTTTATTTAAAAAATTTGAATAGAAAAGATGATTTAACTTCATGTTCAAATTAAATGAACATTAAATCTAATATGGCCTTTAAAGATATTATATTGAAGTTAAAACAGAACGGCTTGTTTAGTAAAATCGTACAATTAATTCTTCGGTCTCTGTTGATTTTATAAACATCTATGAAAAAACATTTTAAAGTAAAGGAATAAAACAACTTTATACACGTACTTATGCGTGGGTGTTTTGTATCACCATCGGCGCACCTTGTACACATAATTTTTTATTGAATCTGTGCCAAAATCGCGAAAGTGGCGTATTCTTCCTTATCACAGTGAGAAGTGGGTCATGTTTGTTATTGTGCAAACGAGATTTCATGTAGGATATAGGCTAAGGTTGCCAATGCTATACACTATGCTTATATTTAGAGGATTATTCATATACATTTATGTCAAATATAAACAAGAAACATCAATTATATATCGGGAAATTATGGCTATGTTTACAACTTCAGCGACATCTAGCGTCCGTAACTTTGAGAGTTAAGACAACATGAAATTTAGACAATATGGTAAAATCAAAAACTATTTTTCAATTTATATTACAAGATTACTATAATAAATAGAATAATACTAAAATTTAGGTGGATGGCTAATGTATAATATGTATCGTTTAATTTATTTAAAAAATTGTGTTTTATTTCTGTTATATCAGAGTTTGTTTACCTCATATTGGGATGTTTGTCCGTCAATCATGCCAAAACTAATGAACGGATTTTGATGAAAGGGTTTAGCCGTATACGTATGACGAGTCGGCCCCCAAATGGGAATCGATATTGAAACTTATGTTTTAATATAGACTTGATGTTCAAACACGATTTATGTACTTTTCGCGACCGACTTCCGCTTTGACCTTGAGATAGAGAGCAAAATATCCGTATGCTTGACTATTACTGAATGTGATATATCTCTGAAGCTAATTAAGATAAAGAAGTGAAACTAACGCGAGGTGTTAGGTTACATTACAGAGTATATCACATATATTTTTTTATAATTTTTAGAATAAAAAATTACATTAAAAAAATAAAAATAAAAAAAAACATGTTTTTTTTTCTGAGTTCTCTGTGACTTACAATCACGAAATTAATATATGTTATGCTCCTTTGTGTGCTCTATCACCCATAAAAATTGCGTGAAAAAAAAGTTGGTGCAACACAACGAAAAAAAATTATATGTGATTCGCGCCTTGTAGTGTGAGTGTATAAACAAACAAGTTCGAACTTGTTATCGAGCTGTTTACTGCATCGTTTGTTTAGCTAAAGTAGCAGTCATTTGTATTACACAAGAAGGCAGTTTGGGACTCAAATTCTGTCATAGGTATTTTGTATCAGCATTTTGAAATTATTAACTATCGAACCAAATCATTATTAAGTAATAATGTCGAAAAAGTGTAAAAATTGTAACAAGTACCTGTGTAAGATTCCTGGTTATAAAAAAATTATAAAGAATGAAGAAGAAGCTGAAAGTGTTTAGTGACTGTTTGAATAAAATCGTAATAGTTAATGATATTTTTTGTGAGAAGTGTCGACTTATCCCATATATTAACAAAAAAGCTTCTACTTCTAAATGTGCAGCATTTAACTTGGCCGAAATAATGGACGATCAAAATAATCTCTCAGTACAATATGTGAAATCAGCACCTAATATCATCAAAGCAGAAGTGAAATCAAGACATATAAATAGAAAAGTCTATCGAATTTACATTCACTATATTTCCGAAAGTAATGACTACAATAGTATTCTTCGTTATTGCTGTGCTTGCCCCAATGGCAAACGTACAGTGGGATGCTGTTCTCATGTAGCAGCTATTATTTATTATCTATCATATGGATGATATTTGTCCAAAATCGTACGTCCTGCTGAGGTCCTAACTAAGTTATTTGCGACTCAAAGTGTTCCGATTGTAATTAATTACAACAGTGACGATGATTAATATTTTGTTTCTTGTATTTTGATAGACACGAAAAAGTAGTAATAATAAGTATTGAACACTGGCTGTTTTTTTTTCATTTCTTTTTTAACTATTATCCCATCTCTTAAGACTAGTTACTTATGTTTTAAAACAAGCTGATGTGAAATTTCGAAAAAAAAAACAATGATGTAATGTGAAAACCTTATAATACAGGGGTATACCATAAGACAGAAATCACATATAATTTTTTTTCGTTGTGTTGCACCAACTTTTTTTTCACGCAATTTTTATGGGTAATAGAGCACACAAAGGAGCATAACATATATTAATTTCGTGATTGTAAGTCACAGAGAACTCAGAAAAAAAAACATGATTTTTTTATTTTTTATTTTTTTAATGTATTTTTTATTCTAAAAATTATAAAAAAATATATGTGATATACTCTGTAATGTAACCTAACACCTCGCGTTAGTTTCACTTCTTTATCTTAATTAGCTTTAGAGATATATCACATTCAGTAATAGTCAAGCATACGGATATTTTGCTCTCTATCTCAAGGTCAAAACGGAAGTCGGTCGCGAAAAGTACATAAATCGTGTTTGAACATCAAGTCGATATTAAAACATAAGTTTCAATATCGATTCCCATTTGGGGGCCGACTCGTCATACGTATCCGGCTAAACCCTTTGGTATTCAGGTAGGGTATTAGCTGACTGAGATAATAGGATACTTTTTATTTTACTAAATATTTCTCTAGGGACCACGCGGGCGAAAGCTAGTTAGTAAATATATGTAATATGGTATGATTAACAGAACTTTCATTATTTCTACTACTTAGGTCACTATGACCGCTGCGATAGATTCTATTACCCCCACCTTCATCTAGTACTTCGCATCCAGCCATCAGAATTTGAAACTCATTTTCACGGGATAAAAATCCTTTTTTTGTTAAGTGTTTGAAACTTAATTTCGTTGCTGACTTATAAAAAGTAGTATTATGAACGTATCCTATTGAACGGTTAAGTAGTACTTTGAAGCTATGCTTTTATTTAAAGACGATCAATATCTAATTCTTTCAGTCTAGTGAACATTGAACCTGTAATTTTGAATACTAAACGGCAGTTTTCTATTATTTATTTTTCAATTTCAAACGAGTTTGTATACGAATTTGAAAATCGCTCAATTTGTGGTATAATCTGTGAATATACATTAAAAAGAACACGCATCGATATCGCACATATAACCTCCTCTTTTTCGATTAATCGGTAAAAAAGATGGGTTACCTCAAGATTTTTTCGTACTTTAAAATTTTGATAGTTATAAGAAAAATACTAATTAAATTGTCTGTTTCAGACTCGCATACGGGCAGTGTGTTTGGTGTTCCTTTGGCGCAGTGTGTGGAGACAGAAAGGGCTCTCCGGCGGCAGCAGCACGGCGGTTCCAGGGCATCATTAGCTTCTCTTGGAGCGATCGAGAAAGGAGACGATGTGAGTAAGAATATCGCCACTGTATATCATTCAGGAAGAGGACAGCAATCCAAAAAAAAAACGATAAATGGATCAATCATCTAACTAAATTTAAAGGCTTAACTAAATTTAACTTAGCTTAATTAGAATTAAATTTTAATTTTCTACTTATTACTTATTTGTGCGTAAAATTATGTTAAAAATCTACTTTCTATATAATTAAGTGTAAACCAGCCATGGGTCTAAATAGTTTCAATTATTATTTTGTATCTTTAATAGCAACGAAAGCAAACAGAAAAGTAACTCATAAACTACCATATTATATTAAATTTAATTTAGAAGTGAACATGTTATTTCTATAATAATTACAACGAGAAATGGAATGAAACACCATGTTGTTTTTTACATGAAGTAAACACGATTCAAAAGAGACACATGGACCTATCGATAGTTTTCTTTTGATAGTCATTCACACCCATCACAAAAATAGAATTAGAAAAACATGTCAATATGATCAAAGCTTCGTACTATGAAATGAAAAGTTTGAACTATCAGAATATCGTGAGTATTTTTAATATTATCCAGTCTGCTCAATTTATTGGCCAAAATTCGTTGAACTAATATATGATTAGACGAATGACGCTCTCGTAGGAAGATATCTGTGACAGTGGTGAGCTGCAACAGCTCTTGGTTTAGTGGTCATGCATGCGGATGGCTGGCATTCGCCATTTGAGCGGGCAGAAATAGTTCGTGTGATTGTAGCCAAGACGCGTTGCTAAGGTGGCGTGGGATGCACCTGGACGTAACTCGGAAGAAATACAAGTATTTCGTTAATTTCCCTATTTTTTTGTAATGAAAATGTATCTCATATTCTAATGATGATTTGATATATATATGTCACATTGACAGTTGTCAATAAATGTCACTTTATCCCTCGTAATTTTCCAGACTAAGCTTTCTTCTGACATAATTTAAATTGTTATTTTAGAATTACCGCATCTTTGCTTTTGTTAATTTACTAATCTCATTTGTTGATGTAGATTATAATAGAAACAATAAGTATATATAATAATAAAGGATTCATTATCGCTTTTCACTACAGGCAACGTGTTTAGTAATGTAATGTATGACTTCAATATGAAAATTGCATGAAATAATAGGTTCTACAAAATTGTTTCATTTCTCCACACTCATTTAATTTTAAGCCTGCTCCTTCTAATGTTAATACATTTCAAATATATCGTAACCGGACGTATATAGAATTCGAAATCGACTGCGAAATGACATATTATATTAGCATGTGTATATAATGTTGTGTTAACTGAAACCACAGGAATAAATTTTGAGAAAATGTTTGAGAAGCATTGAAATTGATATTATTGTCTCATATGTTAATAGATGGTAATATAAAAAGTAAATAAATGTCACAATTTGGTAAGAAAAAGGTAAAACAATAAAGGCAGAAGAAATAAGATACAAAAACATAATTTCCCCAAAGCACAAAAACGATGTAACAAATAACTAATAACAACATTTTAAAATAGCATAAATTAATCTGTAATAGACATTAGACTAGACATTACGTAAGTTACAAAAAATAAATAGATCAAGTATGTATATACTCATATCGAGTCCTAGTCCTTTAGTAAAATACAATTATTAATATAAGATAGGCAGAGTCCCAACCGTCAAGGAAGATAGGATGGATGCAAGAAAGCACGAATAATGTATAGTAACAGTGCTAGAGCAATTGATATTCGAGAACTTTCACGAATGAGTAAAAGCAGAAAAGCTGTTACTTTTTCGCAACTACAGAGCATATTTTGATCATTGTTCAGGCAATCCACCCCAACAGCCGAGAGAAGAAAAGAACATTTTTTCAGTATACCGTTTTGAATGCAAAATTGATCAAACTCATTAGTTATGTTTATATTTATGTCTGCCTTTCAACATGTTTGTTGTAACGCGGCAGGTGCGCTCGCTATTTTGTCGTGCGCTCATAAATTATAATGCTGTTTGAAATGTGAAACTGTTAAATACCGTTCAAAATACTCTCGAATGCAACATTTTAGATGATGGCCAACTATTTCGTAATGGAAATCAATGATTGATTTATATGAACTATTAAAATAAGCTTACATTATCATAGTTATAATTAATTTATTGAAAATTATAATCATGTTGCGGTTACAGATGGCGGTGAGGTCTTAGCAGGATTTTTCCTTTTTTTTACCGAGGGATAAGACCAAAAGTTGCATAGAGTATCAAGTTTTAGAACTTAATTTTTGGCTTTTTCATAATTTCATATTTTTTTGATGTATGTTCTTTTATAAAAGGAGTTTCAATTATCACTCGTAAGTAAAAGATTATTTTGTGAACACATAATTGAAATCGAAGAATTATTATCACAAATGTTTTACAGAAAAATACATACACTGACATCTGAAAGGCCGAAGCGACAGCAAAAGAAACCTCGCCGATGTTTAAAAACGTTATAAAATCTCAATTGCGACATGTTAAAAGCGAGTGCAATCAGGGCCAATGGGTCGGCGCTGACGTCACTCGACGTCACCGTGACGTCACGGGTGTCCGGTTACCTGCCGGCCTCCATCGGCTCGCTTTCATTAAGGCTGGGATAATTTTATCGTATGACGCGGCTCACCCATTCCGATATCTCTATCTGAACGAAAATAAACATACTATATTAATTTGAATCATCACACACCCGTTTCTTTTGATCTGTTGTGCCTTACATACTACAGACGATTGATACGGTAGGGTCCGAATGAAGGGAATAATCATAAACATTATATTTACCAATGAAATAAGTCTTACCGGCAAAATGACAATCACCTCCATAGCATAGCGCCCACCGTTGCTTCCGACTTGTACTAGATTTATGAGCTGTAAACTTTTAATGTTTGTTTACCTACAAATCAACTAGTCTGTTTCTTTCAAATGTTGTTTATTTGTGTTCATAATCGGTTTAGTTTTGTAGCTTTTAGCTGGTACAATTTTAAAAGAGTGAAAGTCTCAAAAATTAAAGCTTTTCATGACCTAAGTCCTACAAACATCGCTATTAACTTATTCCTCACGAGCAACAGACGTTCAAAAATGGATAATGTGTAATATTAATACTCAAAGTCAGTTTCTAAAACGTTTATAAACTTCAGAAGGTAAAATAATTTTTCAAAGTGAACTCCAAAAAAGACACGTATTGCATGCACATCAAAATACATATTCAGTGTAAATTTACTTACTCAGTAACATTTTGCATTATCATATTAGTATCTCAGCTTGGATGATTTCAAGACCAATACCAATTTGTTTCCAAGACATAATATTCTAACGATTTCTTGGAAATTGCATATTTTTTTATGTGTATCAATGTGTCAGTCATCCTCTTGTGTTTCAGAGCGAGTCCTGCGACTCCGGTGAGTGGGGATGGGCAGGACTTGAAGAGGCGGGCGGGGGAGGACCAAAAGTCCCTGGTCTGGTGTCCGCTTGTCTCGCGCACCTGCGCCGGCACGGCCTTCACACACTGGGACTCTTCAGAGTGTCCGCCTCGAAGAAGAGGGTGCGACAGGTAAGGGCTAATATCAAATACCACTAATAAATTGAATTAAGTACAGTATCCGGCATGAAAGAAAATCCTAGGTAGACACTAAATATGTACTCCGAATAAATCTTATAATAGTGAAAACTAATACTTAATAATACCTACCTAAGAAAAGAAAAAAAACATAGAAGAAGCTTCTATAATATATAGTCGGGCGATTAATATTAATATATCTGTTCAAAAGTTTCGCATTTGGATTTATATTCGTGTCGGACACTGTAACCGACCGATAAATCTGAAAATCCATTTGTATAGCAAAAACAAATGTAGGTAGTCAAATCTGTAACGTTCTCTAAAGACTGCTCTTGCGTTACCAAACATCGAGCCTCCATCGTTTCAAGAAGCAATGAGCAGGCCACATTAGTTGTAGAACCTACAACGGGTGGGTAAAAAAATTTTAGAGTGGCAATCGCCTATCGGCATTCGGAGTATCGGACGCCTTGAGACTAGATGGAAAAATGACTTTTGTAAAGTGGCTGCAAAACCTGAATGAGAATGGTTGAAGATTTAGTTCGATGATCTGCACTTGGAAAGGCTTATGCCCAGCAGTAGAAGATACGACATTCCATCCATAGATCCAATCCATCAAAATCCATTATCAACTCTGCATCTTACATTTATCTTCTAAATTGTAACTTAAAAACTAATAATCTTAGAAAGTACATTAACAGGCATAATTGCGGCAAACCACTTAAAGCGCGGCATTGGATAACTGCCGCAGACCGAATTAGAATTAGAAGTTTGAACAAACTTTTTGCGGACTAGTAGGGCGACCATTCTCACCGCATATACTGATTCATGATGTGTTTTTGTTGTAGTTTGGAAATTCTTGATATATTGTACTTTGGTATAAAACGAACTGTTGATAATGACGTCAAAATAATATAGTGTTAGATTAAACCAAAAAGTGGGTCCTACATCTAAAAGCTAAAGTGAAAAATCATCACTTCTATTAGAGAACCGCTTTTCTTCTTTTCTCGGGTTTGTTTGGAAGTTTATATTCTTAAAAGTATAAACCAGACGCTTATTACAATGTCTATGATCAACGATAGCTACATTCGTCATTTTTGTTACGATGCATTTTCAAAATTAAAGCATCATTTACTTTTTGATGTATACAAAAAGAGTTTTTGTAACGATAATCTAAACTTTTTGAACGCATGTCATTGTTTAAACTAAGATCAAAATTTTATCACCAAAAAGTCGAAATAACCAAAATGCTACTTTGATCCTTATAGTCTTAGACCCAAGTGTTTATATCTATGGTAGAACCCAAGGATAGGGATGACGAATATTTTTTGTTTGTTTGTCCACAACTTTAATGCCTATTATCTAAGCCATTACTTGTTTAAATTGAAGCAAAAAATATGTATCTAATATTTTTCTATTACCTGACTGACGGACTAAATAGAATTTCTTATTTTTTACCCAGTCGTCGTCGATAAACATAAAGATAAAGATATAACATAAAGATATTTAAACTTCTTGGCAGATTTTAACCGGATTTGTTAAGCAGGTTTGTATCAAAAAATTAAGCTAGAACCGATGCTTGAACATCTATATACAAATATATCTGAACCTCTTTTTTCATATGCTATACTTAATTCTAATATATACTTTTACTTTTTGGTTTAGTCTAAGGCTATGCTTAATAAAATGCAAGTTACTAAAAATATTGTGCATATACTTTCTAATTTATTAGTCTCAGTCGGACGTGAATAAATATAAAAATATTTATATGTGCAAAATTACATCAAGATATAATCAAAGGTGACTCCACTCATTTTAATGGAGTATTAAGTAACATACATAACAAATTGTAATAAAAGCATTTTCAAACTGGTAACAATTTATAGTCACCACATTTGTTGCCTAGCACGTTTGACCTAATTGTGTTGGATTTATAACAAACCACGCTTAGAAGCTCTCACGGTGAGAGAATGACGTATGAATCGATTATGTTCTACCAACAAAGTAACACTGTAGCTGCTCCAGAAAGATCGCCGGCCAAATCTTATGTTTTCGAATGTTATTTAAGCAAAGTGCCAAGAATAACTAAAGTTACACTCGATATTTTACAGTACGAGGACGAAATACGAGAATTCTCTAAGAATGTAAAAATTAATTATGTTAGAGATTATCTTAGAGCCAAAGAGATCATGGCCTAAAGGTACTCTTCTTTATGAAGACGGCCCGAGCACACTACACATGTTTTAATAATACTTTTTACTGTCTTATTTCGTCTCTTTATCATACTCCTTATTCTCGCCATAAAAATTCACTACTGAAATCTTTTATACTTATTAATTTCTAAAAGGTCTGCTTTTTCATTTATTTATGAGACAGATAATTTATTAGACTGTCTCAAAATGGTAGTGGTGTCTGTCTACCTTGCCGGGAAAATGGTGTGAAATTTTATTATAGTCTAAAAATAAATAAAAAAAAAAACTCTCAAAACACGAGAACATCAATGCTTAAGATTTATAATTAATACTTTTAGGTTTAAGATTTTCAACAACATCTATTAGAATATTTTAAAATTTGTGTCTGATTATTCTAAAGAAAACATTTGTATTTTCCAATTTCGTTTCCAGCTCCGCGAAGAATGGGAGAGGGGTCAGGAGGCTGCTTTAGATGCGGCCGTGTGTCCCCACGATGTCGCTACCTTGCTGAAAGAATTCCTTCGGGATTTACCAGACCCGCTACTATGCAGGGACTTATATAATGCCTTTCTCAATACACAAAGTAAGTGGCCAACAAATAAAACGCTATCATCTACAGAAAGACGATAAATGAAAGTAAAACGTCGTAAAACTTTAGAACAGTTTTAGTGCGCATAGAATCCAGCAATTATCATTCTCGTTAGGTACCCTGGAAACCTTCCTTAATTTTCTCTAAAATCGTATTTGTAGTAGACCAAAAAAGTTTTTTTCTCTAAATAAATACAGTAACTCAAGCATATTGATAACTACTCGCAGAACTCCGCAACCGGCGACTACAGTGGGAAGCTTTACGATTAATCGTACAGCTTCTCCCGGCTGCGCATCGGGATACGCTCCATGCTCTCCTGTCTTTCCTGTCGCAACTCGCAGCTCACGCAGAAGACGAGCATCAGCCAGGAAACAAGATGGATGCTGCGAATCTAGCAACAGTCTTCGCACCAAACATACTTCATAAGAACAAGCCCAACGAAACTGCCAGGTTAAACCTCGTAAACGTTAGGAAAGGTTGTATAATATGCTGTGCGATTTCAAGGAACTCCTATATATTATCTCTATCTTAACAGAGTATTTCTCACTCGGTTATATATAGAAGCATAGTACGTACTGTATTAGTTTTAATATTGAGTAATTGTTTGTAAATAAATCGAGTGGTATTGTTAGGTATAATTTTTGTATTCAGTGCGGAGCAGCTGTCAGAGAGGGCTGACGTCATCAACGTGGTAAGGCAACTTGTGGAGAGGCAAGCAGAGTTATGGACTCTGCCCGGGGAGATGTTACATGAAGCTTACATACAAATGGCCCACACTGCGCCTGCGCATCTAGACTCACTTCTGCTACGGAGGGCTGAGTGAGTTATCTAGATGTAAAACCAATTGGTTTTATTGTTTAATAGTATACTAGAGAATACGGTTGATTTTCATTGGTCGATCTACATCATATGGGCACTCCCGGAAGATGTATAACGACTAATTAAAGTTGATTTTAAAGTTAACGCATACGCAATAACGGTCCTATTGTATGTGTTGCAAAAATCTTCTTCACCTCTCCGTATATGATCCCTAACCTGACTATTAATTAATGCATTCTATAAAAAAACAATGAAATTCTATAGACTGGATAGTTATTGCGCCTTAAGAAAATCGATTTAATATCGTTACAAATATAACATTGTTTAGAGTTAAAACACGTTAATGATTTTAAAATGTATTGTCTTGGGCCTAAACATTACATTGATGATTTGAGTAGGTACTTTTATAGATTAAAACTCGCGCATTTCCCTATAATAATATGTTAGATATTGGGAATCGTATAAGGAAAAGGCATACCTTATGTTTTGTCCGCAGATTATTCACAACGCAGTGATTACAAATGACAAACAAATTTTATCTTCGTAGAAATAGAATGTGTTTTGTTTTCATTTAGATATTACCAATTATGAAATCTATTTTAGTTCAACTGTCATCCTTGTAACGGCTAGGCCCAATTTCGCCATTCTTCTTTACGAAGAACTAGCGAATCTTCAAAATTTTTGTTTCCTTTCTTTACAAGCGAGCGTTGCATTTACAATGTTATATTCACATTTATCTTAAAATATCGAACTCGAGTACCGAGTTCATACCTGAGACTGGTTTTAAGTATTTTTAAGATCATGTATTGTTTTGTTTCTTCTATGTATATTAGACAAGCTGTGCGTGCTAAAACAATCATTTAGTCGATTGCGAGCGAGCTAGCAAAGCGATTGATGCGCCGCGAATGTATTATCGACAAAATAACACTTATATTTACTAAAGCGATTTATACAACTTTTGGTACTATTTGTAAATGTTGTGTATGTGATTTAAAGTTATTTTTAAGTACGTAACTATGTTTTTACTTTACTTCTGACAAATATGGTATCAGCTATGTCGTTTAATATATGCTACTGGTGCTACCAATTTGTACTGGTAGCATTTTAAACGATTACTAGAATAAGCGAAACGATAATGCACCGACGACGTCTGCTCGATCTGTAAAAATCCGAACCCGAATTCGAATTCACTCATATGTCATAATATAGTGAAGAAATTCTGTTGATTCCATTTTTTTTATATAAAAATTACAAAACAAAATTTATTGATTTGGAAACTCACTTCATTTGTGCCACGAAATATTATTATAAATCAATTCAAGATTGAGCGGATGTCGCTTTTTGAAGTGAATTCGTACGTACCTGAATGTATTCGAATCCAGGTTTGGATTTTTACAGATTCTGTAAAACTCCAAACCCGAATTCGAATTCTCTCAGGTGTCCGAATTGACTTCAAAAAGAGGCATACGCTCAACCTTGAATTGGTAATAACGTTTCGTAGCATAAGTGAAGTGAGTTTCGAAATGATATAGGAATAGAATATCTGAGACAAGTGTATTAAATAAAAACAAGTTGTAAACTTTGATAACACAACTCAAACCTCAGTGGTTTTTAGATGTTATCTTAAATTGTTTGTTATGTATATGTTTATTTACTTGATAATAAAAGAAAAAAAATATTGTTTTGTATTTTTATACAAAAAAATGGAATCAATAGAATTTTTACACTAAATGACGTGAATTCGGACACATGAGTGAATTCGAATTCGGGTCTGGATTTTTACAGAATCGCAGGGCAGGTTGCTTATAAGTTCGTTTGTTTGTTTGTAGATGCGCACAGGAGTCGAGCGCTGGTGGTGGTGTGGCGGGGGTGGTGAGCGGTCCGGGCGGGGGGGTGGTGGCAGCCGCGGGCGCGGGGGAGGTGCCGCGCCGCGTATGGCCGCGCGAGGCGTGCACACACACCGCCGCCGCCACTGGAGGACCTGACGTCAGACACAGGTGGAGGCATTTTTATTACCATAACCGCTCCCACCTAGCGTGGGTTCGGCGGGTTATGTGGGACTCTCCCCAGAATGGGGCTAATCTAATAGCAGGGGCATACCTACTAAAACTTAGCGATGTCTCTTAATGGAGACCATGTACGGGGACAGCCCGAAGTTCACTTCCAGCGTCGAGGTACCGTACCAGTAAAACCAAAATATGCCCCATATATTGGTTTTAAAAAAAGTACAAAAAAATTAAGATGGTGAATCATTTGGTTTGTTTTAAAAAAAGGATTTTTATTTGTTAGAATATTAATAGTAAACGTATAAGTTGGGAAGATGAAGAAGCCGGGAAAGCCCATGACATGGCCCGAAGACTGTTGAAAGTTAAAAGCCATAAAAACCGGATATATTTGACGCTGTACCTAGACAATCAATGTTTCGAAACATTGCTTTTTTTAAATATAAAAGTACATTTTTTACTTTTACACCTATTCTACAGGGAAGAGTACAGCAAAATGTTTATCGTAGCAAAGGAATAGTGCCTGTAAAGTTTTTAATTTGCTTCAAAAAAAGTTGCAAATATGCTCCTTGCAGTTATGTAAGGATATGATTGGTGAGAGACAATATTGCCTCTGCAGATTCCCTTACTTAAATAAAATACATAAACGTTTTATGTTGGTAGGTATTTTAACAATATTTGGTGGTCCGTGATCCTAAGTTCAACTTTCCGTAAAACGAATACGTTCCACGGTCCTATAGGACATATGATTTATTGTACTAATGTTGCTGCCTTATTCGGCAGACGCAGTGATAAGTCTTATTCACGCAGCAGAAGAACGAGGGAAACAGCCTCTGACACTTCATCTGGGTCTCTGTCTTCCACCATCACTACTGTCGTCACAAGGTACGATCGTTTTTAATTTATTTATTGGTTTAAAGCGACATTACTGACACAAATCTTCAAATTATGAACATTTAATTGGCTTTATACCGCCATTAAAATTTATTTATCCAATAAATTATTTGCCCAATTCAGTGATAGCCTTGAATGTTAATTATCTTCTAATGATCGTATATGTGTAAAGCAGCAGCAAAGTACGGAGCAGCGAGGAGGGCGCGAGCAGCGGTATAGGAGGAAATACAGCTCGAGACTCCGCACCTGACTCCAACGACTCCGCCAGCGACTACAACGAGGTGACGCTTAATATGAAAAAATAGACCAATGGGTCATAATGACGGATATAAAAATGTTTGTCTTGTGAAAAAGAGAACATCAGATAACCGATGCCAATACATGATTTATTGTATTTTAAGAAGATTAAAGATGTCTATACAACAAGAATAACGGCATGTATCGGTTTTTTACGAAATAAAAAGACATAAATAAGCTAAGAACACCGCCATGATTTATAATTGATTGGTCACCACAGTGATGTCACACAGTGACGGGACATGTTTCAAGTCATGAGACATACAAAATAAAAAAACGACTTTTAATTTTAAGAGAATAAGATAATCGTGCGACTTTAAGACTCAAAATTAGAATCTCTATATTAATAACGATGTAAATTTTATTTCTTATGCATTTTCGTGACTTGTTTTATCAATTCTCTTAAGAGTAAACTACCCTATACTTTGTGGCGATGTATGACGCTTCCTGGATCCTGGACCGCGGTCCCCGGGCTAACAACACCTAGCTCGGAGGGAGACATTTATCCTTTAATCTCCCTGGCCAGTTGTCTCCATCACCACATTAGGGACCCAACCTTCAATCTTACGGTTCCTAAAGTACTGTGGCGACTGATACATAGCGACATCTATTACATCGCAGTAACATCGCCACAACTTCTCTTAAGAGTAATCTTAAAAACAACGGGGTTATCCTATGGAATACTCAATTTATAGTCGTATTTGAATTGCCAGACGCTAGGCGGGTCGGATGAGGACAGTTGCGTTATAACCGCGTCGCTGCACATCCCGGCGGCAGTGGCGCGGCCGGCGGCTCCGCCACGCCGCCGCTCGACATCGGGCTCGGAGTCGTCAGCGCGGCGCGACTCCGCCGTTGGCTCCTCGCCCGCATCCCCCGCGCCCTCCACGCCGCCCGCCTCCCCGCCGCCCCCGCACACCCGCGCGCCTGACATCGACCGTATACTAGCCCTTGGCCGGTCAGTACTATAGTTCAGCAGGCCGATGCAGCTAACGTAATCATCGTATTCCAATAGGATCTTAACGTCTTGCATTTTACCGTTGTCTACCCAAAGTCCAATACTATTATTGTAATATATACTTCACACGGCAATAATAGCTGATATATGTATAATAATATTGTCTTCAGGTAGATAGCACAATGGCAAAATGTAAACATTATCAGATTTAGCCTGTAGTCGCCAAACAGAGAGAATTTCGTACGTTGACCTTGGTGTTTACTGATAGTTATCATAAAGATTTTATTTAATTTACTATGACAATGGTTAGATATCTCTGTGCGAGCACTACAGAAATATATGTATATGAAAGGGATATGTAATACCGGGTCATTGTTCTGAATTTCCTCTGTTCGGCGACTGCACTGTATCACTACTTAGCTCCAAGTGCTCTTTGCCACAAAAGCCCTCTAGAAGATTTAAGCAATTTTTTTTTCGTATGTCAGCAATAGTTATATCTATTTATACTGGCTCGCACCTAATAATGTCCCCACAACGTAGACTTTCTACTTTGGATGGAATCAAATAGGAAGATCGGTCCATAATCAAAGTTGCGAGTCCAGTGCACATTGGTGGATGTTAGACCGCGAAATTGACATGCCCTTCGACCACGCAGGAGCTATAATATACATATATAAAATATAATAGGATATAGTAATTCTTGGGTCACCCATCCTATGACTGCCCTAGCAGAAATTACTTAACCTTAGCTTAGCAGACCGATTCCGTCGTTGAGTTAACCAACATCGTAATCATACATCTCTAAAAAACACTGATCACTCGACAAAAAGTGCTGTTAATTGCCGATATTTCAATTATTACCTACATTTTCAGGGAACGTAATACATCAGACGCTCGGGCAGTCGTATTGAGACAGCACGACGAAAGTACCAACATAAGAACCAGAATCTCATCCCGCCACGAACACGGTACCAGAAGGGAAGAGCTCACCCTCAGGAGAGACGATCAGAGCTCCAGAAGAGAAGACTTGTCCGTCAGGAGAGAAGAGAGGAGAGAAGGCACCACTCTCTACAAGAGAGGAGAATTAATCTCTAGTGCACGATCACCGCCCACATGAGAGAATTATATATACGTGCTTTTATACATAAACGTCTATTTATCACTATGTAGTTTCACTTTACAGATTCTTTGAATATTTATTGGCTCGTGTTATTGTTGAATATGTGCTGAAAGAAACACTCCAAGGAGTTTTTATTCATAGCCTACCTTCTAAATTAGTTACCGCATTTTTATAATACATTCTACTAGATTACATATGATTAATCGGGGCCTTTAACAGTAAGGTACATAACTGTACTTTCCATTCAATAAGTCAGAGAATTATTGGCCATTACAGACGGACAATGGTTCCGGTTTTGCTTATTTGGTACAAAACCTTAAGAATGTGATTAAGTATCGATACTTCTTTACAGTTGTTACTTTTTTAAATCCGTTGATATCGCCAACGCTGAGGTTCTGGGTTCGATTCCCGGTTGGGTCAAAGTAGAAAATCAAATTTTCTATATTGACTCGGGCCTGGTTGCCCGACTCCGTCGAAAATTGGTCGATTGTATAACGCTCGATTGACTGACTGATTTCAACAAAAAAATGCCGTCGACCTGATGTTACGCAATAATACGCAAAACGTTTTCCGTTAGATATCTAATTAGGATGTCAAGAAATCTCAACAAATAATAAAATCACAACATTTATAGCAAAAATACATGATTTCAAAAAGTAGTTATTATTTTCTATGTAATTTATCTCGCATGATGATAGCACCGAGCTTGGATACTCCATCTTGGTATTCGGTTTTACCCAATGGAGGTACTGCTGATGTGGTCTCTGCAAACCAAATATCAACATTAAAATACATTAAAAATAGTTATAACGTACTATAGGATTATTCGAGAATTTGCCAGCACAAGCAGTTCTGAGCTGGATGCTTCGAGTGTGATCGGGACAAAAATTTATGCGCTCATAAAATTTAATCGTATTTAGGTAGTCATCATAATATTGTTTCTCACCGCATTTGGCTCTTGTATCAGTAGCAGCCCCACCGCCAGCCTGCTTGGACATGGTTCTGGGCGCTGCCTTTCTTGGCTTGGGTCCGACACGGCACGGATCGCCCGGTAGGCGCATTGGCTGGGCACACGGGCCAGTGCCGCTTTCGTCAGCTGCTCGCTGAAGGCCTTCAAACTTAGCCCCTGGACCTTTAAGTTCATATTCAGGTTTGGTAAATATTAAGTTTTAAGAAATCAACATAAAACTAGCTAATATTATTTAGATAAAGACGATCATCTCTCTCAAGTGGCGCAGAGAATCAGTCCTCCTGTTAGTGAAAACTTACTGGATCGGGTAAGATGATTGAATTTGTCGAATATTTTTCTTCAAAATAACACAAAAATTACTTTTTTATTAAAAAAAAGGAGTTTGAGTTATAAGAAATCTGAGCGAACTACAGGAGGAACAAATTTTGATTGTTACCACTCTCGCAGTAGTCAACTTGGTATGTGGTCTTGTTGCGATCCCTGTCAATACGTTGCTTGAGCTCCGGTGATGCTTCATTTTGAAGAATACTGTATAGCATTGGATATTTTGATTGAAGCTGGAATATAAAAATTAATGCCAAGAATCAGCTTAAGAACATAATTATATTATCTTATAAATCACTTTCAGATACCTTCAGTTTCTTAAGAATTCATGAAATGTTAACGAATTATTTGCATAAAGCTTTTTATTTCGTCTAAACCTGTATTGTTCTACGTGATCTCTTTATTAAATCCTTATGGAACTTGTTTAATTATTAAATTATAGGATATATTCAAAATGTTTATAGGAAGAGCTTACCTTGTCAAGAAAAGCGTTGGGTTGATCATATCGAGATGAAGAGGTTTCAGGACTGGCAGCAACTCTTACTGGATATAGTTTTGGATCTAATAGAGGTCCCATTATCTGTTATTTATCAAGTGATATTTAGAATATAGCTTATTTGGTACTCTAATAGTTACACGTAGATTGCTTTAATAATATAAATCGTTTTTTGCTAAAAATTCACCTCATTACGGCTCCATCCTCCGTCTTTTCCCGGGGGCAGCTGTGGAGCTTCACCGCCTGAATATTGAGGACATCGACAGTCCGGAGGTCTTGTGTGCTGCATACATGCTTGGTAGAAGGCTAGCTCTTGCCCTGATAGCTTGGGAACTCTAGGAGATTTGCCGTTTCATTGAATTGTTGTAGATATCGACGCTGGAAAGCAAACACGTAGTAACCCGCAAAACCAAAATTGTTCTTCAGAGTAGAAAATCTTTTATTTTTTCCGATAAATAATTCCTTTAATTGTAACAAATAAGGTGTTCCTTAGTAAATTTAAACAGAAATAAGATGTTTCTTTTTTGGTTAATATAAAGATTTTCCACTCTTATTATCCATTTTGATTTTGCTGGTTACTACGTGTTTGCTTTCCAGCGTCGATATGAACTATTTTCGATCTAAGTTATGTTTTGGGAAACATTTTAAGGTATCTCAAAAAATATAAATGAGACATTTATCACAGTGACGTGATCGGGAAGTTTTTTAGAATAATAAAGTTTGAAATGACGAAAAATAAAATACTAACTTTAATGACTCATGGAAATCCGTTTAAAAATTGTTAAAGATTTAATTTGCATGAGTTAATTCTGGATTGAGTATAATACTTTATGAAGTATGATAAGGTTGATCGGAATTGATGTAAGAATAGATTTTAGTATAAGTACATACTCAGCTAAGCCTCCAGCACCGCCGCCAGCTCCTGGTAGGTTTGGCCAAAGGTAGTCTTTTCTGTAGGTAGTCAGGTAATGGTCCATGTTGAAGTGTCTCTGCCAGGGCCTTTTACTTTTCTAATATTACATTACTAAAGGGAGTTTTATGGGTGGAAATTTTATTGTTTTGCATAATTTACACTGTTGATTTTTCAAATGGACTAAGTAACAGATAATTGTCAGAATGTGACAATCGTTGTCATCTAGATTTGGAAATGCCATCACTAAATCAAAGACATTATTTAGTCTAAGATTAAAATCTTTGATTATCATTATATCTGTCTGTATTTGTCTTAAGGTCATAATCAAAGACAAAAACTTTTCCAAACTTTAAAGCACTGTTTTACACAATTAACAAGTTATTGATCATCGCCATCTTTCATTCGTTTCATTTTCATTTTACATGTCGAAATTAATTTATTCACTTGACATTGGCAGAATTGTGTGAAATGCGCAGATAAGCCATTAATAAAAGAAGAAGAATTTACGGCTTTTTCCTTTTATGTTTCAATAATTATTTTTTTTATCTTTTGTTTTATGATTTCATTGTCTTAGTATTTTAGAGTACTGAGATCTAATTATTGAAAAAATTCATAATATAAATTTGTTTGCAGAAATCACATCATCACATCACATCACCAGCCCTTTTACGTCCCCACTGCAGGGGCACAGGCCTTCCTTTTGGATGGTTAAGGAGGATGGGCCATGACCCTCCACGCTGGCCCAATGCGGATTGCAGGGTATTAACGACTGCAAATGCAGCCGGGACCAACGGCTTAACGTGCCTTCCGAAGCACGGAGTAGCTCGAGATAATATTTTTTTTGGTCACCCATCCCGTGACCGACCCTTGCGAAAGTTGCTTAACGACAACGATCGCAGGCCGCGGCGCTTACCACTACGCCACCGAGCTTTTTGTTTGCAGAAATGCTGGAATGGAATTGTATATTTGGTATTTCGATTGCAAAGTAGATATTCGTGACATGTATAGGGTATAGTGTAACTACCTATTATGATAAGAATATCTGGGTTATTTCCAGTCCTCTGATCGGTATTTCGATTGGTATAGGAGCAGCTGGTTATTTTTAAAAAGAAGGAGGTTTAAAAACTAGGCCATATTCAATGGTAGGCCTATTTTTTTAATTTATAGCTTATATTTAAGCTGTGCTATTAATAAACAAGGTTTAGCGTTAGAGTAAATTTGCACTAAAATTGCAATTTTAGTATTGGTCCATATTCATATTCTTCAGATAATACTAACTTCTAGTAATAATATTACTAGGTTAACCTTTGCTAAGTCTCTGTTTAATAATATGAATTTTGACTAATACTAAGTGCAATCTCAGCGTAAATTTATTCCAATGCTAAACCTTGTTAATTAATAACACTTTATAAGTTAATATATTATAAACTTCTTTCTTTAATTTCTATCATATTATTTATCAATATCGGTAACAACTGTAAAGCAGTTTTATTTATCAACATTAATATCCAAAATTAGTATTTGTATACGTTTACGCAAAGTGCATTAACTTAATAGGCCACCACTCGTGACTCTCGTTTTCGTGGGACCTTAGAAATAAATTCGAATGGAGATAACACAAATAGAATAATCCAAACCAATCAAATCACTTTAGGACACTATTTAATTATAAATAAAAGATGAAAAACGTTGATAAGCAGACAATGACAATTATTTTTATCAAATTTTCTAACAAAATAAAATTATAAGTAAAACAGTTCAATAAATTATAGCCAATACGTATACATATAAGGGTTCCTCCAACGTCCGTACTTCGGTTCCTTGCGTGGAGGGCCGAAAGGATTCTTTTCTAGGACCACTTTGCCAAGCAGACTGTGACACACACCATAGGTTGTATCACCCGTATTTACGCGTAATATGCGACGCAGCTCCTCTGTGAAAACAAATACATAATCAACATTAGTCACATTATCAGACATTTAATTTCCTCAGCCCTGCGATTCTGTAAAAATCCAGACCCGAATTCGAATTCACTCATGTGTCCGAATTCACGTCATTCAGTGTAAAAATTCTATTGATTCCATTATTTTTGTATAAAAATACAAAACAAAATTGATTGAATACACGTGTCTCAGATATTCTATTCCTATATCATTTGGAAACTCACTTCACTTATGCTACGAAACGTTATTACCAATTCAAGGTTGAGCGTATGCCTCTTTTTGAAGTCAATTCGGACACCTGAGAGAATTCGAATTCGGGTTTGGAGTTTTACAGAATCGCAGGGCAGCTTGCTGCCTGGGGCTCAGGTCTTCAGGATTGGTGAGTGTTAACGACTGTTTATGCAAACAGGACCAACCATTTAACGTGTCTTCTGAAGCATGGAGGAGTTCGAGATAATACATTTTTGGCCACTCATCCCATGATAGGCTATTGTGAAAGTTGACCGAGCGCGTTAACCACTGTGCAATCGAGCTCCACTAATAAAAACCAACATAATTATCAGCCTATTGATATCTTCTACTTGAACACAGGCCATGTCTATTCCATAGGAAGAATAACACAGGGTATATAGACTAGAAAAAAGACGACAAGCTCAATGACGCAAATTCTACCTATAAGTCACAAACTCAATTTATATGTAATCATAATGTGTTCTTTTTCATTACATATCCTCTTTTAGGAGTTCGTTCGTCGGACATGTCTGACCCATGAAATATGGTGAGCCTGACCACTAAAACTTTACGATTCCTTAAAGGAGGGTATTCCTTTTAAGATCGCAATTAGATATTATAGCTTTGACTCTTTGGCGCTAACCTACTCATCCTCTTTGTGGGACTATTCTCCATTCCCTTTGCGGGCGGAGAGTCTTGGTACGCAAGAGCTGTTTCGTGCAGGTCTTTTGACTTTATGTAATATGTAGAAGCGGTAACGTACTTTGCAAAGATGGATCGTATTTGGGCCTCATAGAAAGAGAAGACGGTGGGTCAGCGTACTTCTCCGGACGCGGAGGACGGTAAGATCCTCGCTGACTGGTGTCCGGTATAACGACGTCGTCGGGAAGACGGAGTGTCTGCAAGGCGCGTGCTCGTCGCGTAAGATTTACAGACATGAAGGGGAGCTCTGAAAATGGCAGCGACTCTCTTATCGATACTCGTCTTATATTACAAAGAAGTAAAGTTTCTAACTTTGTAGGGGACAATTTTCGGATATACTAATCCGATCATAAAAAATCTTTTACCTACGGGAAACTATAATAAAAATATATATATATATGATAATAAGGGCTATAATCTTAGCGGGAAATCATGGAAATATGCTATGTGTCTATAATATAAAAATAATTCGATTATTTACCTACAAAAAACTACATCATACGACAGGCTGTAATCAAATATATGGCAATACCCACGAAAGAGCCCAATGTTTATGAATTTTGGAATGGTTCAAAGTCAACTTAAACACGTTTAAATTACAGTGCTATGTCACTATTGGTTCCAGAACTGCAACTGTGCATTAAATTCGATACAATAATTTAATTCTTAGTTTAGGCCTTAAGATTAAATTTAATCTGGCAACATGTTATCCTTATTTTTTGTCCTTTCCTAGCGCTCAAAACTGCCTTTGCTAAAGCGAGAAAGTTAGAGTGTTGCCTATCGCCTAGAGGATTTTGTGGCCTGTTATTGTACAGCCGCTGTCATTTTAGGGTTTCTTAGTAACAAGGAACCCTTATAGTTTCGCCATGTCCAGCTGTCCGCCCGTCCGCGGTTTAGCTCAAAAACGATTTTTGGCTCAAAATTGCAATTGGCATGTCTCTGCACGTCAATTATAATGTGGGCATCATTGGATAGGTTTTTAAAAACGTAGCGGGTGTAGGAAGGCCGTATTTCCATTAAATAACCTAAGCTTTAAAGAGCTAATTTTCGTTAGAGTCAAGTGTAGGGACAACTCTACACTACGTACCAACTAAACGGTCGTTGGTTAAAATTCAAACGTTACGGCAGTGGTACCTATATATAACGAAGTTTAAAGGAAAACTATCACACTTAAGTTGGCTTTAAAAATTTTTACTCTAACAAATGGCGCTACTGCGAGACAGAAATGAACAGCATATTTGCCAGAAAGATAAATTTCCCTATGCATCAGTTAGTTTCGAAAATGAAATGCGCTGGAGTTAATTCTAAACAGTATAAGAATATACCTCTAGAGCAATACTTGCACAAATACTCGGTCCTCTTCAAGTCCTGTATCTCGTGGTCAATGGGGGTGGAATCGATGTCCTTTGACATATACATCTTGGTCAATTTCGGGTAATCTTCTGCAAACTGATTCATAAATGTTAACAAATTATAGTCATCAAATTGTGTTTCTCGAGCGGATGGGACTGGGATTCTCCCCGCTGATGGATCTCGACAGTGAACTAGAGGATCACTGACAGTGGGAGATAGCTTAAGGCTCAGTAAAGCATAGCCTAGGGCGGGCATTCGAAAAGGTCTATAGAAAAAAATATGCTGAATAATGAAATACTGGGGTACTAGTAATTGTATCTTCACTGTTAATCCAAGACAGACTAGATATACTAACCTGAGATAAGCATGGGAATAAAACAGCTGTTATTTTATATACATTTAAAATATTTTCATAGAATACAGACTGTTATTGCTCATGGGCAGGCTTTTCTATTGTTCTACACTAGCATTATCCAACAGAAGTTAGTAATAAGAAATTATATTATTTCATTACGACATATACACAATTAAATCTTTGAATCTATATCAATAAACGTTCTTTAGAATGAAAATTTATACTTATAATGCCTAAATTATGAGAGCTAAAAAAGGGGACTACTAATCTTCTTGTGACCACTGAGCAGGTCAACAAGAGAGGGGACCTATCCACTAGAAACCCAGTGTATCCTTCTCCACTCAATAGGGAAGGCCTCAACAGTGAGCATAAAAAGATAACAGAATAATATTTATTATGAGTTAACTCTAGTTAAAAGTAATAATAAATATTGATTACCCTTTCGACGGCCTTCTTATAGTATTCATGTTTGATGGGACAGAGCACATCAGGACAGCGGCGGGGTGCATCTTTAGCTTTGAGAGGATCTCGGCTCAAGCCAACGATCAAGCAGTCGTCGTCCACCGCTTTGCGACGAGGACTCTTGCTAGGATTCAACAACAATTATAAGAGAACAACCAGCGACGGACATTAAGAACTTGAATGCGTAATGGTTAGTGCGTCTACAGTGCGAAGTTAGTCTGCATGGACGTCGAGTAACTGTGCTTCGGCAGACATGTTAAGCCGTTGGTCACGGCTGTATCTGCTGTCGTTAATATTCCTTAATATGCACTGAGCTCACGTGTTAGTTCATTCCCGAACTCAATTTGAATTTCGTTCTCATACATCTTTATAAGAATCGTAATAATTTGCGATTGATTAATTCAGAAACGTTTATGTTGCAAAATTCGCCAATCTGTATCCCTATTCTATTTAGAATCTATGTCCCTGTCTCATTACCGGACGCAATAAAATAGTCGGGAAATGTATTGGACTTCTACGCCTCCTTTTTAATTCCGTCAAGTTTATATGAAATACAACTTTGTAATTCGCACAAAACATCTTCAGTACCGATTTAAAATATAAGAAAGTTTAAATAGACTATGAATAATTTTAAAATAAGCTTGATGACAAAATATAATATTAAATATACATTACAATGGTACACAAAGTTGTACGTCATGTTACCACAATATCTCAAATTCCAGCAATAGATTTAAACCTCCAGCCTCAAATGTATTACGGCTTAAAATCGAGTAGGAATATTTGACAGTTTTGTACTTTCCGACATGCTGTTGACAATTCTCTTGCGCGTGAGAATTGCAGTTGACAAGCAATTCTCACGCGCAAGATTAAGTATGTATCCTAATCTTTATGTAGGTATGGCGCGGTATGCGGTACCACATCTCGTGCGACATGCGCCGTACACAAAGGGTTTTAGGACAGGCTGAATAATACCTATACATTATGTTTTGCACATGTACACATGAAAATCCATTACAGATGGAATGAAATTATGTAAATATTTGTACATTATGCTATACCTATTCTGTAAATCATCACCAGCTAAGAATTTAAATGTCCTTGGCATCAGTCAATATGTGTCCCTTGGGTACAGGGTCTTATTTATTGATTGAGAGAATGGGCTATAATAACTAACGTGACCATTTTTTCTTTGGATCAAAAGGAACATTTTTTAAGAAAATGGAAGAAGTAATTGTCATCCATCAAACGATGGTGTTGACAATCTTAAATTCTTGCGACTTTATTTACTGATGGCTTCTTTCTGCTATAGTGGGATAAGGAAACCCTTCTGTAATACTCTGTGAGGTACCTAATATTATAGACTGTGATATATACTTTACGATTACTTGCCTTTCGGTATACAAGGTTTCAAATAACCTCAAGGTGAGTGGAAAAGAAAAAGATGATTTCACATTGATACTCGTAGCCAATGCAATTGTCGTCTCCGACAAAATTTTCGAGTAATTTCGAAAGCGGGTCATTTTTGCGTTCCAGATACAACTTCGGGGACACCAGGAGAAACGACTAAAAAACGGGACTTCTGGTCACATTAGCTATAACCCACCATGATGACCCTGCGTTGGTAATTGATGTTAGTGGACCGTTACAAATGTTTTTTCAAATATGAAGATACTAAATGTAATTTGTTATTATTGTTTACTTACGGCTTGTCTTTTTTACCAAAGTCTACCATATACACCGATTGGAATTCTATTTCACCGTCAAACACGGACATTGTTTTTAAATTATTAATACATAAATAAAAAAAATCTTTATTTCTAGCGGGATTATGAATTCTATTTGTCAATTTGATGCTTATGATGTCAATTTCAGGTGCCGTTTCAATTTGTTTTGGTCAATATTGTCATATTACGTTACTAAGAGTTACCTAGGCTTTCTTTGCCATGTCATCAATACCACAGATCAATACCATAGCCATTTTTCATGTACAATATAATTAATTTAACTAATTTAATCATTTGACATTGGGCAGTATAAACAAAAAAAATAGCCACCTTCACCGATACTGTAGCTTCACGTAACGTACGTAGGTGAAAGCGTGGTCAAATAATTTTTAAAAGTCATCTAGAAATTTCGGACCCTATTCAAATGAAACATACAAACAAAAAATCAAATCTTTATAATATCTAATAAAGAATATCTAAATTCCTTTCTTCTAACATTCTAACCATTTTAAACTACTTGCTTTTACTTTTGTTGATCCAAGTTTACCCACAAAAAACTAAAAAGAGCATAATCTAAGCCTATAATATGACAATTTCATCACATTTTTATTAATCAACAATTACTCGACTCGTGAACTCCGTGACGGAGTGAATCGCACGGTGTTTCCAAGGTGTAATCACCGAAGTCCAGGGTTCGATTTTCAGTGTGATCACGCATAAGTTAACTTCTGTTTAGTTTGTAGTTATTAAAAAACGACCTTTGACACTATTTAAACTAAATTTAGTTTGCGTAATTTAATTGCTATCAATCTGTACTATAAAATAAAAAAGATTCTAATCTTGTTTGTTCGTATCTGCACAAGCTTCGGATATTAACCTGGAAGCTACATCATATGGGGGTGGAAAACAACTAGTATAATGAATTAGAGAGACAAGACACAATTCATTATAAATCATATCACTTTATTTCGCAATAGTTACAATAATCATGTGCATACTTATAAATAACAAAATACTTAACTTCCACAATAATAATATTTTCTGTAAGACTGACTAAATCATTACGATCACCGAAACATTAATATTATCGAGATAGCAGCAATTTTAACCAACACAAATTAATTATGTACAATCTAAGTGCAGTATCTGATTTAAAAATAATACAGTCCATTATCTGTCGGTCAGAATAGCAAGCATATATACACTGTTTAATTTAAAATAATAGCTTACTTTAATTTAGAAAAACAAATATTTGAGTTAGTATTCAAAGTCAATAGTGATTCAATAACATCCGTGAATGATACTTCCTGTTAGCTAGATCACAAAATAATAAACATATGTCACCCTTGATTAGCAGAATTGAGGCACTGGTTTCTAATAGCTTCGAAAGGCTTGAATTGCTCTCTATCATGTATATAACTAACCTCGTGTAACTCGGGACATTAAGAATTCTTCATAATAATTTGAATCATATATTTCTTATATTATTTTACTATATCAAATTATTAATCGAATAAAGAACGTTTCGGTGAACTAAAAAACCAGACATGGCCTTCGTATAAACAAACATAAGGTTACCTACTCACGACATACTTTAGGTCTATAACTGTTAACAATTAGCATTAGCATTTTTGTGTTTCCGATTGAAATCTAGAAAATGGTATCGGGATATTCAGTACGATATATCTCGTTAAGTTTATTTGATTTTAGAACTTATTTATCAGTAAATAATAAAGTGAAACGAAGAGGTTAGATCCTGATAGTCTGACATGAGCGTGCAACCAAAAACGAAATTTGATGTCACAGAATATAAAACACGCGGAAAATGTTATTACTACAAATTAGAGCGTTATCTACTTAGGATTATAATAACATATCAAAACTAATATTTTAATACAATATAAGATGCTTATTTTAATGTAAAAACAATAGCCACATAGCATTGTTCGATTTTCCTCTATAGCAAAAGAAATATGATATACAATATAAATTTTCATTCCATCAAATACATACATAATAATTTAAAGAACATCTTTGTCAAGCTTTTGTATTATACACTAAAATATATACAGATATAGCAACGTTATTGGCGTACCAGAATCTAATGGAATTAAGGGAGACTTTAATTTGTAGAAGGCAACATTGGGGGAAAAGGATAAAAACATCTTGATAGTTGTAATATTTTAATATAATAAAATCTTATTATATTTGATCAATTTTTGCTTTTACAATGCTATGCTGAAGCATCAGTTCTGAGTACCTGAAGCTGATGGATTTTTAAGTATTTTTCAATAAGAATAAAAAAAAACTTTTCAATAACTTATAGCATTCAACATACTCTTGACCAAATTCCGACCACTAAAAATTTTGACATAGATTAACCAACTTCATGAGACATAACATAATACACAAACATACATTTGACATAACAGTCGTCAATAGTTGACAATTAACATTGCCATATGAAAATTCTCGAGATTGTTTCTTTTGTTTTAGTGCCATGAGATTCTGGTACACCTATAACAAATACGTCCCACTTAAAAATATAATTTTACATTGTGTTGCCAACTTGCCAACGGTAAGACATCACTATGTAAAATGGCAACATTGAATTACACCAACCTATAATATAAGCTCTTTTTGGCTACCATCGTCAGATACAATTTAATTTTATGGAAATATAAATAAAGTGTTAAATTGTTTTAGAATTATTGCAACAGACTGCCGTAAAAAAGATCTAAAATTTTAGAAATTTAAAATTGATTACTTGAATATGACAAATTGTGATACCATAATGTACTGCTCTATGTACTTGCAGTAATCAAATGTATTTCTTGATAAAAAAGTATGTGTTCAGAGTCGAAGCGGAAGAGATGAAATAGTGTGGGTAATCATCGAGACAAAAACAAGATTATATTGCACGAAATAAGGCGTCCAAAGTATTTTTACAAAAAAAAAAATACTATGAATAGTTACGAGAATAAATAGAATATAGTTGAAGTTTAAAAGGTAACTTTAAATTTTATATGTCTGTTTTTTTTTAGTTTCACAATTTTGTCCAATTAGGTACTTCTGTAAGGTCAGCTCTAGATGTTAACCAAGATTGTGCCGATCGGATTTGACCAATGTTTTGGCGTACAAGTTGGCGCCATATCCACCGAAGCAAAGCGAAGGCATTCCAAAGTGTTGACAAATCACAATCTTTAGTTACTAGAATTTTCGCGATATTGTTGGCTATGTGTAGAGCAATCGTTAGACACAATGATATAGTCTCATTGCAAATATAGTACATTTCAATTACATTTATTCATGATCAATTCATTGGGTGTTAGGAGTATTAGATTTGGAGAGCTGCCAGTGTTTTTGTGAAGATCTCAAAAATAGCTGGGTGTCTTTCACGATACGATTAAACTATAATTTATCGAACATTAACAAAACTTTGAACGATTTACTGCTGCGAGTATGCACAGTTCGATCCATAACAGTTTGTTTTTAGGTTCTATATAGAAAATACTTAGGGAATACAAACCATTTTAGACTTTAACAAACGCGTTGAAGTTCGCAGCACTGCCCAATTTTTATTTTCAACTCATTTTAATTGAGTTTTAACACTTTCTACCTATCCCTATTTTATCCATGCAGACAAAAAGAGAGGTGCTATTAGTTTCTATGATATATTATTTTATCAAAAACATAAGGAACGTTAAATATTAGTTGGATATTAATAGTTAAATATTAATTAGCCTTAGCCTTTAGAGATGCACATCGGACAAAAAAGGAAAATATTTACTTTTTATACAATAGGGAATTTATTGTTTGCTTGTGAAGTATGGGCAGGACTGATGACACTTTGTTCTTGCCGCCCCCGCGCTTATGGTTCGCTAGTTTATGACGTCATACGTACATTTCTATCCTTTTCCAATATTTAAATTTTCTTTTATCTGTAAATTATTGAAATATTTAATTTCTTCTGCAACACGACAAAGGGCCGAACATTACACTGCAACATACAAAAATTGCGGATTTTTTTACTTTTAATTTGATTATTCAACGACTTCCGAATATTTCATTAATTGTTTCAATAATAGTCATTATTGCACATCACGTCTTACACCCTTAAACAACGGCGCCTATTTTGTCCCATTCTATTAATTATAAGTAGAATGGGACAAAATTGGCACGACAACGATTCAAGGGGGGGATTCTAGTGTTTAGTTTCTATAACAATGTGTATATAATACGTTTTTGGATGCGCCTTTTTGTAAGGCGCATAAACAAGACAAAAGATATAAGCTATTCGATGATACGTTATTCATTATTTATAGGTGTGCATTATCTGTTCGAAAGCGACAATATTATAAGAACTCTATACAATATTTACAAATATAATATTCAGTCGCGTAAGCGCTTCTTTATTTTAAATAAAATCATTTTGTATAAGACATATATAAGCATATTATATTAATATATGCCTTAAGGTGGAACACAAAGTTTTATTTATGTGTGACTGTTAACAGATGACGCTTGTTTCGATGAAATTTTTTGACCAATGGAAATGAAAATAGATAAGTTTTTCGTTTATATACGCTAATGTAAAGGTTATAGAATAGATTTTAATAAAACTATTGTATCAGCGAGTTATCTTAATTATATCATTATTCTCCAATTCCCAACGAAGATAAATCCAAAAACACAAAAATTGCTAGAGATTTCCACGCCAACAAATTGCACACCCGCTATATTTCGTGCTTTAGTAAATAGCAGTTCTGAGGTACAGTAAAGGATCGATTTTTTAATTTCGACAAAGGTATCATGAAAACCAAAAATAACTTAAATACATAATTGAAATAATATTGCAATACAAATGTAATACTTGTCACTATATACTATACATAAAGGAATATTATCTAAGTATAACATTAGCGCCATCTATTAATAGGCCGAACAAATAAATCCGCGAGGTACCAACTTCATGCCGATTATAAACACACTTTTACCTCATATCTGAATGCAAACATATAATACATGAATAGGTATTATTTTCAATTAAATACAATTGATACTGTCATCGAGGCCAGATAAAACCTTTATCCTTGTTTTTTCACGTGAAAAAAGACATTAAAATTAAACAGTCAACAGTACAATGAGCTATACTAAACTATCAAGGTCTCCAAACGTTTTTAAACCGTAATAGAATAATAATAATGTTTGAAATTAATAGCAGAAATGGCGTTGAATATTTGGTCTCTCCAATCGCCACTATATTTAATACATACATCGGCATATGATTAGTAACTCACAAATAAGCCTAAAATCAATTGTGGACATTCAATACTAAGGTAAAACCTAATGTCTTATTGGCTGTACGAGTTAAGCTCCATGTGCAAACATTGATACTTGCAGTGCTATTATGTAATAAAATTAGCGTTGAACTGTAAGTGAAGGCTGCCTTTATTACAGAATAGCATACCCAATATACATAGTAACAAATTGAGGTAAAATTAAGTTTTTAATTCAAATTGGCAGCCTGCTAACTTCAATCAACAAGAAAAGAATAATAAAAATATTCTTATATTAATGATAAAGCATAAACAATTTACAATCATACAATTACAAACTAAATTTAAAATCGAAAATAAACAAAATACATATTTTTTGTTAAACAAAAATGATACATCATATGCATTGAGTTTTTTTTTACCATTGGCTATATATAGATTACATATCTCTCAATTGTAGTTATCGATTAGTAAAACCTCGTACATATTCAAGTCAACTACATATATACATTTACACTGAATAATTACAATATTTTATCTTATAGAAAAGACAGCCGTCCTGTTCGCTTGGCGTATTTTTTTTCTTATAGGTAGAGATAAACATTGCGAATATATAATATTATCAAAAATAATAAAGTCTAATACACAGTATATATATTTAAATACTTTAATGAAACACTGTATTAGATGGATTTCAGTTTTTAGAAAAAGTAAAGTTCGTCCATCACGTTAAAAGATTTTTTCTTTCTTTGTATAACATCACAACTTGTTTCTATTCTATTCTAGGCAAATACCTGAAATTTTTATGAATGATTGTTGTCAAGAAGCAATGTAACTGTAATTATAGAAGTTTTTTTGAAAATCGGTAATATTTATCGATAACATCGGTCATAATTATATGATTCTATCGATATTACATTACTGGTGTTAGTACACTGGTGTAAGCACGCTACCATACTCTTTGCATTCATGTAGGCGATAAAGAAGTAAAGGACATCATATTTAAAAACATAGATTTAAGATTTGATTCGTGTCATAACAACTGAAAAGCAGCACTTTGAATTGAATAATATTTTAAAACATTGTGATGAACACTTAAACAGAGTAAAATATCAGGATATTTTATTGAAAGGCTCAGCAGACATATGTAAGTGGTTAGAAGATAAATGTAGGAAACGTTTAATCGTTAGAATAACGACAAAGTCGATAGCGTTGTTTACTTTAATTAATTGATAAAATTGAATAATGGTTATATTTTTAATCGCTACACGGCTTCATAAAATAATATTGGATTTGACGATAAATTAAAAAGCATAAACTGAATTAATATATGTAGATGAAATACTGCTCACCACGTATAACTAACTTAAAACTAATATATTTAACGAATAGCAATATTAATAAAAGTAATTTTTGGTCCGATGCCGATTCAGTCACATTTTGTGTTATTAAAATCAGTGAAACTTAAAAAATATTTACTCAATATTACATCTTACAGGGTTATAATAAGGTGCTGCGTGCGTATAATCTTATTGTGCATTGTTGTTCGTACATTTATATTTATTTAATGTTGGCACTATCGATATGTGAATTGTTAAATAGATTTCCTAGATCGACTTCATTTATTTCGACAAAAAAACATGAGCCTGACATTCGATTATAAAATAAAGCATCATTTTTTCTGTACTTTTGCTGTACATGTTCATGATGAATTATATATGAAATGGCACCGATATTGGTAGAAAAATTTAGAACAGTATGAAAAAACTAAGTTACCTTTCTCTCCCTTTCTCAATGTAAAAAAGGGGTAATACGAAATCATGCCAGACAACTTAGATTTTTGCTTTTAAAATGTCGCCTGTCCTTGTCATGTTCTAATAAAAAAAAAGAGCAAGTGTTGAAATTTAATTTGCGACATTATCACGCCTAACGTTTGACCTACCAACTTGTTTCAACTTCTGCAATAAATATTAATTTATAAGCTGTGATTATACTTCAAATCCATTCTGTTCGACAGTTGTTATAGATATATTTTTTTTAATAAACATATGAACGTGTCTATTGTATAATGGATTTGGTAAAATATAATATTAAAATGTTTAAGGAAGTTATCCACTAAACAATTTTTAATAATTATATATATTTTTGTGATGAAATACATTTTCAAGACATTTAATAAGTTCCAGACTTTTAAGAATTTCTGATTTGATTTATTTATTAAAGTTATTCAAAGTAATGACCAGTAAATTCTCATTTTGGCTACAAGGAGCTGATCCAATTGGTATTCTAATTTACCCCACAACACCTAGCGATAGCTACTTAAATCATACAAAAATATTCATACAAATTTGTCTCTTATTCTGATCACAATAAGAGTGACTTGAAAATTATGTGTACATATTTTTAGACTGTGTATGTTTACAATTCATTCTAATCACAAAAAAAGACAAATTTGCTCAGTTATCGATTACTATTAATATTGCCATTTACAATTTGATATTGGGCTTTTTGTTGATTTTTAATTAGCTTTATCAGAGGCAGATAAACTGCTTTAAAACTGATTAATTCTCCCATTTTCCTCCATTCCATTTTTAAAAGTGAAACTATATAATCATAAAAACTCATTTTTGCAAATATCTAAATGTTTCTTTTTTTTTTAAAAAAAGAGTTAAAGTTGTGATAATATCTTTAAAATCAGTGCATTACTTGCCAGTATGGCGGCGCTGAAGGCTACGGGACCCGGAAAGGCACTACAAGGTCTTCGTGGTGTTCCACGCGTAGTTCCGATATCGCAGCCGCCGCTTTCTTTACTGAATTCGATATCTGAAAATAGACATAGAATGATGTAAATTATTAATTTTTAAATTTTAAACCTTCGGAAATGAAAACAATAATAATCTCTCCATTCTCAGGAGTTTAAGTGGTTATGCTTCCGAGAACTCAGACGAGAGACTCACTGGTCGAATGACACACCGCACAAGGCGACGCTATCGGCAAGGGCGTATTCAATCAATGTTGTATCATATTTATAAAACTAAAAACAACATATTTATAATATTTAAAAGATAAGTTTATCATACGTTTCAGATGTTTTTTAAGCAAGTACATTTTTCTACATAAAGTGTATTTACTAATTTTTGAAAATCATGTGTTTTGTTTTGCTGTGGTCTAATAAATATTATTATTATGCGTTAGCGACCGAACTTGGTAATATCGCGATATGTTTCACAGCGCACAACTTTGTTTTTTTTTAAACTTGTTTCATTTGCACTGTATTTATTTTATGTTAACCTTTATAATTACTTCTTGTGACATTAACGATTATAGATTTCGCGTCGCGTAATAAGTAGTTTGTAACAGATCGCAAACTCTGTCGAGACTGCAGCACCTGAGGCTGATATATCATGAATATCAGTATGAGTAGTACTCACAAAGTCTTTATCGTCGTTACTAAGCCCCGCTTTGCTAAGTAGGGCGGTCCTCTCCGCTTGCGGTACGTCCGCTAGAAGTCTCGGCGGTGCGGGCGTGGGGGGCGGGACCGCGGCCGCCACTCGTGCCGTGTACGCGCGCACACGCTCACTGTACGCACCCGGCTCTAGCGCGTACGGGCCCAACGCACCTACGTCTATCACGTTCCTAAAACAACAGGTGAAACTACTAAAAAATCAGATTTAAATATCCATCATAATATTTATTTCGGTCCTCTTAACAATGAACACAATATTACATAATATAATAAAAAAACTCAAATGAAATACATGCCTATTGCCCCCTTAAACTTACAAGAGAACACTGTATACACAAAATCGATAGTACGAGTAACATAAAACAAAATTATTAATTATTATTCACTGGGAATTACAAATTATCACTATTTTCATCAATTTTGTATTCATAAAGCTAACTTTGAAAATATTCTTAAAGAAAAAAGTTAAAAAATTTACAAACCCTAATTTTTCAAGCACTAGTTACTTTTCGCTACTAGGAGCGTTCTTTCACAAATATTTAGGCAATCCATCTCGAAATTCGTCAGTACTGTTAGGTATTGCCTAAGGTCGTGGGTTCGAATCCCATCTCCGAGTAATAGGGGATAATATTTGACAAATTATCAGTTTATATATATGTTACTGTAAAAACCCGAAGTATGGTAAATCATAAGATTTATCAGTAAGAGGTGGCTTTTACCAGCAGAGTTTGAGAACTGCTAAGATTTACAAATGAGGGTTGGTAAATGTTGGTTATGGAAATAAAATAATGACCCATCCCAGAGTGCCAGGGATAAAGTGAATTTTTTAAACATTATTCATTAAGAATATTTTTCAGTAGAGCAATGTGAAAGCAAGATTAAAACTCGTCTTAAAGTATGTATAGTATAAACTCGCCATGTTTTTAGAGATCCCACACATTCAAAGTTATTTCGCCATTCGCAATAAGTATGTGTAAATTAGCAATTGCCAAATAAAAGTTATTGTAAACTCGCATGACTAATAATATAAAATAATATTTATTTTATTATTAATATTTACAACAAATTGTATAAAAAAATCTAAATAACCTATGTCATTTAAGTATATTTGGTTGTTATTTTAAGAGTACATAGTCTTTTTGATTTATTATAATGCTGTGTTTACTCTATTATTGTAACTGAAATAAAACATTATGATTATAATAAAATATTTAGCATTATATAGCATGATTAAAGAATAATATGTTTATAATACAATATTATGTTATGCAGTTAAAATTGTCACATTAGGTAATAAACTACATGTAATTTATTAGCCATCTTTCCTCTTTAAAACATTTATATAGATAAATAATTAAAAACACTTTATTGCACATCAAGAACATGCCATAGACATACATATTTTAAAGAACTATGTATAAAAGATGGACTTATTGCTGGCCAGTTCTTTCTTCCATGCAATAGCATTGGATGGAAAATCATAACAATAAATAATAGATTATTCATACTGCTATAGATAGATAAGAAAATGATAATTTAAAAAGATCAAAGTACAACAAAAGGAGTACAGTCGCAACGTTGCAAGTATCACTAATGTATCTAATTTATCAAAATGCTCAGCACAAGTAACAACCAACTCGCAATAAGTGAAAAAAAGAAAAGCAACTTTCTCTTAGTTCGTTAGTTAATTGTAGGCACAACTAGTTATTTATAAAATTATAGATAAACTAAATAATCACTGTTATCCTATTAACTCAATGTGTAAAATAATACTAATCTGTGCACACATTAATCAATTTTGTTTAGCCACATGGTACACAATTGATAAGAATGTATATTTATTTTAGAGCAGCAACAATTAGTCATTTGAAAATAGTAAAACTAAAATTATATAAACCAGAGAAATTGGTTTTTCTTCTCAGATACATTCAATGGTCTCATTTAATGGTTTGGTACAATACACAGTACTCAAAATTTATTCAGCTCCCAAATAAGATAACTAAAGTTCATTTAATAGAAATCTGAAAGAACAAAGGTGATAATAGAACTATATTGACTTAGTCAGAAATTTTTCAGAAATGCCTTGAAACATCTTCTGTTTGTTAATTAAATCAATCCAGACTAGTCTTCTATTGCTACACAAGTTGCAGGCGATAGTACATAACACAATTTCACTATGTTAAAAAAGAAGTTTCGAATATCACTACCATAGCTGTCTTTTCAGATTTTAGCACCCACCTAAATTGGCACTGATCCCATGTCACAGATTGCAGGCCTCCATGTTTATGGATAGACAAAACAAATCAATTGTGGTCTCTGGTAATTTGAAAAGATGTAGACTTACGTGGCAGTCTCATGTAGTATTCTATTAAGAGCACTCTGTTCATCTTGTTTACGTGGTGGTGTTGATGCTGACACTACTGGAACTGGTGTCTCCTGTTGCTGTTCCGGTACTTCCAATAGATGAGTCCGCTCATTTATGGTATTTTCCTTGAAAATAAACATTGTAAAAGATAATAAATAGCACAGGGTAAGTGGAAAGTATATATAATAGTGATATATAACTATCTTCCTTACAGTGTTCATAGCAAATATTAATATATCACAATGGAACTGTTTCTGTTCACATGTGGTCAATGACATATTAACATACTCCTAAGTACTATTGTATTATAAGTTTACATTTGTTACTAGTTATTTTCGCAATTGAAAACCCAATGACAAGACTAAACCTGAATTGGCTTGTGCAACAGAATTGCTAGCAATAAAAACATAATCAGGAAACAATCCAGATTAAAGGTAAATAAATGATGTCGAAAAATAATACTTTTTTCGTGATAAGCGCGAGATATCAATGAACAATAGATTTAATGCCAGTACATGAGGAAATTCAAGATAAAAGGTTAAATGTCAGTTGTTCAGGAAAAAAAGCCATTGACGTTAAAAAAACATTTTTAAGCGTTTGTATCATCCAATTAGAGTTTATGTAGGAGTATTTATGACGATCGTGAATAAAATGCGTGTAAATAGTGCTGAATTACCTGCGCATCATTTTCTTTGTGGCAGATACTATAGCAGCAACCCATGACTGCGCTCTTCAGCGAATCGAAGCATGAATGCAACGCGCTGTCCTCCTCGTCGGCCTGCATAAATATTTGTATTATTAACCCGTAATGTAGATAAAAATAGATTTTTTTCTGTGACTCGTTCGCTCGTCTCGTAAAGTTGACAATTCACGCCAAAGAGTAAAGTCTAACAAAGAGCAGTTCATGCAATGAGGGAGTATTAAAAAAAATAAAGAAACAAAAAAAAAATATGTGTCTAGATGGCAGCACAAATTGTTGGATTGGATCTAAACGTCAATTCATGACGTTAAACCAAAGAATAAAATTGTTAGTGTTGTTTTGGATCTGATAACTCGGATTAATATTGAGTTAAAGATAAGAGTATGCAAACGCAACTCGATCAATACAATCTTTGAATAAATTTCTTTTTTATTTGTATAGAGGAAAATGGAAACTAATATAATGGAAGTGAGCACAGAGGTTTTTTTTAATCTATGGAAATCAATTGAATTAATGCTGTGATATAATTAAAAGTGGCATTTAACTACGGTATACAATAATATTGCCGCCAAATAGTTCTTATAAATAAAATACTTATGCCATAGTAGGAATGTGAATTTTTCATTATAATATTTAACGAAAGTTCTGAAAACAATAACAACTAGGTAAGTTAGTTTTAATGCTATTTGTTGTTTGTTGAAATTACAACAACAAAACTACATCAAGTCTCAATAATATTTTTATATGTAAATCAGCAACAAAAATCATAAAAACGGTACTTATAATAAAATATCCGTTTATCTATATAGGAATATTTTAAAACCACTGCGAAGATTTTGTGATAATAAACTTTAAGTTATTTAAACAAACACGTATTTTTTTATTTTCATATTTTCTAATACAAAAATATAAAGTTATCGCTTATCAAAGATCGAGATTTTAAAACTAAATTTATAGACACCGCGCGCCATGCGTCAGCTGAGCGCTCGCTCGACGCCGTAGGTATCGATCTACACTACAGGGGTCACTGACCGCTCATTTTGTTAGATTCGAACTAGATTTTATGCCATGATCTGAGGTGATTTCCAAGAGTAATTCCAATTTTCCCTTCATACTTTTATGGTTAAGGCCATCAAAATGCAAAAAAATAAAAGAGAAACAAATTCGTTACCTAGAAAAAAATATTAAAAAGAATATTGCCGTGGTTACAAAGGTACTTCTGCGTTAAGGCGTATTTAAAAAAAAATGGTATCAACTACGTATTTACAATAATGTGGAATCAAAAATAATATCTTACTGCAATAATAATAATTGCTTACCGTATTTCGTTCCGTACCGTTCTAAATGAAGTCCACCTCTGTCCAGACATAAACGTGCACATTTAATTAAATTTTCATTTAATTTATTTAAAACACTAGTGTCACTTTTCACTTCACTAAAAGCGTTATTGATTTTTATTGTTAAGTCTTCTAGGCTTTGTTCCTCCTCTACATCCCGGCATTTGACATCTTTCCATAAGAAACGTGTCCCACACGTGTGAACAATGCCTCATCCGTCCACAAGATGTTTGCATCACTGTGATGTAAGCCACTAGCATAAGGCTCGACGTGGTACTGGGTTTAGGTCATGGAGCTGCTGAACCGGCTGATAGTGGCACGGATGGAGCCCGGCTGTTTTTAGCAGCTTCAATACCGCGGGTTAGCTCACACCAAACCGTCGTGCCGCATCGTGGGTACTGACTCTGGGACTTCGTCTGTTAAAATGGTTCGAAGCATTACGGACTGCGGGGTAACGGATCATACAAGTATACTAATTATGGAAAAGTCTTATATTATTGATACTAAATCACCAAAAAAAATGTTTGCACTGGAAAATAAATATTCCTGTATACTTACCCATTTACCATTATAGCATTAGACAGAATGAAAATAAGTTTCTTTTTATGGTATACTTTGTGACAATATATCAATAATCATGTTACTTTTAAGAGTGACGGCTAATTTGCTAGATATCCTCTTAAATACCAGCTGCTATACTTAACCGTTGTCTTTTAAGCTATATATTAAACAAATTTATGAGTATTTGACTGACTTAAAACATTTAATAATTATTACAATAAAAAGTGTTCATTTTAAAGAACCTAAAGAAGCAGGTTTAGATAGTTTCGGCACGATTCTCATGTCACTATAACTCTACCAAATTTAAAACGTTGCCTAATCCCTTCAAACGTTTCGGCAGTACAGCTTTTTAATTTTGTCAGATTATGATTTATTCATAATACTCAAAATACGTAATCTGGGATTGTCATTAATTGTGAATTCTACTGCCTTTCTTGTTGTTTTCTTATAGTTTTGTTTTAGTTGTTATCTTTTTGTTGTTAAGTTTTGCTAAATTGCGATTCCGGTGCAGGCCCGAGAGACCTACAACAATTACCTTTGAGATTTCAGCAAGTTTTTCCAATGTCTTAATCAATAGTCTAATAATATCTGATTAAATGTTATAACAGTAATAATAAAAATTTCATTTTGTTTACCTTTATTTTCTGGGCATAGATATAACTAAATTATATTCTAATTATATGCACTTACAATTAGAATCAATCAAAACAACAGATAGATAGTTTTATTTACATATTGGCTCTGAGTAAAAGATAAATTTAGAAAATGCTAGTCTCATCTCAACCCCGAGAAAATGTAAAATTGCCCAACTCTTTCAGACTACCTAAAGTTCAAAATTTCAACAAAACTATTATAAATATTTTTAATTTTATCTTGTAAAAAAAATGTTCTGCACTGCTGCTTCTGAGAGCCTCTTTTTTCTAATGTTATAATGAATGGAGTATAGGTATTCGTACAAAATAACATGACTTCTGGCTAAAATGACGTTTGTGCAAGGTGTAACGTGCAAATAACTTGTGCTTTCGAAATTAAGACTTTAAAAAACTGTGATCAGTTATAAATCTTATATTCATAATTAAATCATCTTAATAAACATTCAGCAATCAACAAGAAAACGTATGTTCTAAACAAACGGCAAAGTTATAAAGTTTCAAAATCACAAAGACGCGTACAGTTATTATACTATTGCTACTGATCTTGCATGTCGACGGCGGACGCCGAGTCATGTGTTAAGTTAATTCGTACCGTGGGTATGCGCTTTTTGTTTCTTATAATAATATTGTTAATAATAGATTGACTCCCTACACAACCTACTCTAGAAATCAGTTTTATTGAAATATATTATTTACTAAGTACCTAGAGTAGTCATGCACTCTTAAAATCTCTGCGGTGGTGTCGTGGTCGTTAGGTCCCCTCAAATATAGTATAGTTGAGTTGTATAGTTGAAATTAAAAAAAACAGCCCTTGCTGTTTCTTGCCGATACTTGTCAGTACATAATCTCCCGCCTTAGTTTTGCGAACCTTTGGCAAAATTGTCCACTTTCACAAGTAGTATGTAACAGCCTAGACTGAATGGATTTTTGATATTTATATTAATATCATTCGTTTTGTGGATGCATAATGACACATATAAATACATGCTGAATTCTGCGCTCTGCTTTTTGTTCTTCATTCCAAACCTGAATTCGGATGAAAGTTACGAGCAACCAATAAGTTGGCTAATCACTAATGTTGACGTATCAACCAAACATCGTTCTTTTACACGTAACATAATAAAAAACTCAAACTTACGATTAAAATAAATTAAAATTAATTTGAAAGTTTGATATTATAAGAAACAAAAAATGATGTCATATTTATTACTATAACATAAATAAGTATTAGTTGATAAATTGAATAATATAGATATCAAGTCTCACATAGTTAATATGTTGTTGTCACCCTTTTAGAAAGGGACAAACAGTCTCCGTAGTTGATATCTCGCTCGGCTCGCTTTTCAACAAGGAGTACTCTGTCTGTGTGTGTATCTGTCTGTCTGTATAACTCTTAGATATAACTACTCCTCGTAGTTTGTATTGCACATATTTTACTCCTTGTTGCATTGCTCATTGAGTAGATATTTTATCTGAGGTATATAATTTTACTCTTTGCTAAGCAACCAAACAGTAATGTAAACAACACATTGATAGATGATCAATCAACATCGATAATTCAACAATAAATATTCATCGCCATCTTTCATTCATTTCATATTCATTTTACATGTAGAAATTTATTTATTCATTTGACATTGGCAGAATTGTGCGAAATGCGTAGATAATCCATTAATAAAAGAAGAAGAAGAACACATTGATAGATGTTTTCAAAATGCTATATAGCTATTAAAAATCCGAAAAACTAAAAAACGATACAACTTTTTATACTAATGAAGTAATAAAAGTGAAAAAAAAAACTCGTGTTTGGAATGAAGAACAAAAAGCGGAGCTTGTATTTGTAAGTGTCATTATGCATCCACACATCGAATGATATTAATAAAAATATCAAAATCAATTCAGTCTAGACTGCTACATAGTACTGGTGAAAGTCGAAAACTATGCCAATGGTTCGTAAAACTACGGGGGTCGACATTGTACTGAGAAGAACCAGGACGAAAGGGCAAGGGCTGCTTTTTTCTCCCTGTTTTATTTCACACACAGAAGTCTTAATTAGATTATGAAGTCTATTTCCATTACAATATCACAAATAACAAGATATATATTTTTCTGATTAATATGCCGGTTGCCAAGTCATACATACTCATTGATAAGTCAATAAACAATATTCATAATAAAAGAAAATGGATGAAATAAGTAGTCCAGTGCAGACTCACCCCCTCTGGCAGCACCCGTTGATGAGTTTGACGCATGAACCATAGCCATCACTTCGCTCATCTATATTTAAGGGAACGTAACGACCCGACGCACACGACACCACCGTAGATATTTTTAAGATAGCGTCACTATTGTAGGTAGTTAAGAAATAATATATTTCAATAGAACTGATATCTACAGTAAGCTGAGAAGGAAGTCAATTTATTATTTACAATATTATTGTTAGAACTAAAAAAAAGCACATACCCGCCGTCGAGATGCAAGTCCAGTAGCGATAGTATAATATCTATACGTGCCTTGTAATTTTGAAATTTAAAGTAACAATAAATTGTGAACGGACGTTTCTTGTTGATTGTTGAAATTTTATTAAGATAATTTTAGTATGACTATAAGATTTCATAACTGATCTTAAATTAAAAAAAAACCTTAATTTCGAAAGGACAACTTAATTGCACCTGCACTATGTACAAACGTCATTCTAACTAGAAGTCATGTTATTTTGTATCTACCTGATACATATCAGGTAGCAAACAATAACAAACGGATTTTTTAGTAAATCGACGTTTTTATACTTTTGTTGCTGATTTATAATCCCTATTAATTCATTCTACACACATAATATAAAAACATCATTGTTATTTCATGTATTTTTTGTTGCTGTAAATGCAATAACACTAGCTTACCTATTTATTTTTGTTTCAGAACTTTGGTTAAATATTATAATAAAAAACGCCTAAACTAACTAATGGCATAAGAGTGATATTTACAAAAACAATATCACGGAAATAATATTGTATACCGTAGCTAAATGCTACATTTAATTATTTCACAGCATTAATTCTATCGATTTCCATAACTTCTATAAAACCTTCTCTATGCTCACTTCCATTACGTTAGTTTCCATTTTCCTTTATACAAATAAAAAGAATGTTATTCAAAGATTCGTTGGTATTACTCCAATTGCGTTTGCTTAACTTGAATAATTGAATTTCAACTCGATATTAATCCGAATAATCAGATCCATAACAACACCGACAATTTTATTCTCTTTGGTTTAACATCATGAATGAGGAAGTATATAAAAAAAAATAAAGAAACCACAAAAATTTATGTCACTAGATGGCAGCACAAATTGTTGGATTTAAACGTCAATTCATGACGTTAAACCAAAGAGAATAGAATTGTCAGTGTTGTTATGGA